GAAGCCTCGGTCTTCGCAGCGGCCGGCCGCTTCAGGGCCTTCTTCGTGCCCGAGCGGGTCTGGCTCCCCGTGCGATTCTTCCCCTTGGGCGAAGGCGCCCCGTTCGGCGCCGAGGAGTCCTTCGCGCGAGCCCGCAAACGCGCCAGCCTGTCGGCGTTGGCCGCTGCGTCGGCAGGCGCACGCGCGGCGACCCCTGGAGCTGCAAGGGGCCCTGCAGGGGGCCCTGCAGGCGCCGCTTCGCAAGGAGCTGCAAGGGGCCCTGCAGGCGCCGTCTCCTCGCTAGCCGCGGATGCCTGGCCTGGGGCGACCATCTGAGCAGGCGCGGGGGGTCCCAGGGCTGCCGCCGAACTCGCCGTCGCAGGCGCGGGGGCTCCCGCGGCTGCCGGGTGTGCCAGGCCGTCCGCGAGCGCGAGCAACCCGCCGGCGCGGGCGGCGGCTTGCGGGCGACTGCATATAGTCAAGCCCGGCAGCTCGCCGCCCGCAGTGGCCGCCTGGTCCAGCAGCGCTGCCTGCAGGCCGCTCGGCGCGCGGCGCGCACGGCGCGGGGCGCTGATCGAGCTGTGGCTGATCCGGCAAGGGGGCCCCCTTCGCAGCAACTCCACCCCTAACGAGTCCACGGGGCTCGGGAAGACTGGGCGCGTGTCTGCAGGGAATGCCTTCTGGAATAGTTCTGGATGAGTCCTTTCGAGCTCATTCGGGTTCTCTGGGTAGACCCGCGGGACGTTCCCCGAAGGCACGTTCTTGCGCACCGCCCGCATCAGAGACTTGAAGTCGTTGGTGTGCGCGATGACTGCTGCTGAGGAAGGAGCCACCGGATCGGGCTGCCTCTGCAAGATCGCTTCCGCCAAGAATGCGATCACGTGGGTGCAGGTCTGCTCCGAAGGATATAGGAGGCCCAGGTCGCGAAAGCGGCCTACGACGATCTGGAGCTTCCGGCTACCAGCGAGGCAGGGGTCGCCGAGCAAGGTCCACTCCTGGTGCGTGAAATCCACCACCGTGCCCCTGGCACGTTGCGGCGTGGAAGAATGTCGAGTGTTGTCTGGTAGGGCTTCTGTTTTTTCTCTGACCCCCCCTGTTATAGCGCCCCGTCGCGAGCGCCTCCCGCCACTCCTGGGGAAGTGGCCAAAGGCTTTCAAGCCAGCCCTGCAGTTCCCCCTGCCCAATGCAACAAACCGCGCCCCCCACCTTATCGTCGTCGACATGACCACTGCAGGCATCGTCGCCGTCATTCGAACAACTGCCACCCAGGGTGAGGCCTGAACTGCGGCGGGACTTGCCGCAGGTTGCTGAATAATTCTGCGCGAAGACGTTCACCTGGCCAGTCGTGCGACTATCCGCGAAAGCATTTGCTCCAACGAGGGCGTTAATGGCACTGGTCAGTTCCACGCGATGCTGCAACGGGAACGTGCTGCCCGCGAGGGCGTTGAGCAACTCCCCAGCCCTCTGCGCCGAAAAGCTCGAGACTTGCGAGAGAGCCTGGCGGACGACGCCGCACTGCTGCGCATAACACGCAGCAAGAACGTCCGGGGCCGCGCCCGCGCGCACGCTCGCATCGAAAAGGCCCTCAGCGACGCGAATGGCGTCGAGAGCGGGGTTGGATGCAGACATCCCGCGGTGAGAGGAGAATCCAGGCAACGAGAAAAGCAACGCGCCTGACGCGCCGGGCCAAAACGGCTGCGAGAGGGAGCATAGGTGGGAAAGAAGGAGGTGGAGTAGGCGGCCAAGACTGCGGCAATGCAGCGCGGGCCCTCCCAGACATGCACATATGTATTTGCAGAAATGCACGACGATGGAGGCGAGGCGGGAGCACGCCTCTGATGTAGTTGATGTTGCCCCGTGGGCATTGCCATTCGGAGGAAGGGCGGAAACCTTGTCTCAGTTTTAACCCTGCGGGGCCTCGTGGGGCACGAAGTGGGACAGGAGAAGGAAGATAAGGGGAGAGGGGGGGGGCGGAGAGGAGGACAATGAAGTGAGAGGAAAAAGGATGGGGAAATGAGAGGAAGGAGGAGGACGAATGAGGATGATTTTGCATTGCATCGCAGTGGTAATGGTGAGTTGCAACATTTGACAATATTCTCAAACTACAAAACTATACTCCAGCCACTGAGTAAAGTGGTGCATACTTCGTCTGCGCCCCGTCTTCGGCGCAGCAGGATAAAGCACAGCAAGTGGACAAGAGAACCCCACGGCAAACGCGCCCTATAGCGACTCCACCCAGGCTGCATCCTCGCGGCGAAACAGAAAACAAACGGGCCCCGCGCCCATGCGCAGGTTGATGGCAAACTACGTGTATGCGGCCCCTGCCGCGGCCGACGTCAAACGGCGGCGTTGTTGAGTTCCCTCTCCCTTCCCCCATGTTCACTGTCCCCTCCTCTGCCTCCTCCCTCCCTGATCCCCCCTCGTCCTCTTGTTCCAGTTCAGTCGGGCCCCCCCATGGCGTTGTCGTTGCCCTCCCCCTCCCCCATGCGTCTCCCAATGTTGCGCCCGCCTCAGTCCGCGCGCGCGAAATAATCCTGGAGAGTCACCTTGGGCCGCTTCCTGGTAGCGGCGCTGGCCTTCGAAGGTTTCTTCATCGCGGCGGGCCTCTTCTTGGCGCTGCCACCCATCCTGGTTTTTTTGAGGAGGAGCGCCGTCGCGCGCTTGGCCGACTCGAGCGCAGCCGTTTGCTGCGCTTCCGAAGGGGCGGGTGCAACGGGCAAGTCCGCTGGCCCCTCCAGTGAAGCGCGGTTGTTGCTCGAGTACGGCAAGGCGCCCTAGCTGTGGCGAGGCTCGTCTGAACCCAGACGAGACAGCGGGCCTGGCGGCACCGCCTGGTCCGTTGTCTCAGCCGCACGCCTTTCGTGGGATCGGGGGCGGCGGCGAGGCGGCGACGATGCGCCCACCATTGACCCCCATGTGCAATCTGCGTTGCCGATCATCCAAGTATTGCTGAAAAGGCCTGGAGGAATGGGTGGCGAAGCCGACTAATTGTTCCCGTGCCTCTGGGCCAACACTCGGAAAAGCGGATCCAAATTAGCGGCCGGCAGCGCCGTGGGGTAGCTGTTCCCGGCGGCCTGCACGCAGAGGGCTTCGTCCGCCACCTTGCCGGCGATCTCCTTCGGGAAACCTTGGAGCGTCAGGCGTTCTGTCGGCGCAAGGTAGCGGGGCAGCTTCCTCTGCGACTGCGGGATGGCAACCTCGCCGCACCTCGGGGGACAATGTCACACGTTTGGGTGCGCGCCCCAAAACATTCAAATGTCGCTCGGGGCGGGGGGGGGGCTCGGGGGGGGGGGCGCAGCGAGGGCGAGAAGGGCGAGGAACACCTCCTTCTCTTCCTCCTCCATTTCCTCCTCATCCTCCTCCGCTTTCGGGGTCGCGAAAGTTCTGGGGGCATTAGCCTGGGGTTCCCGCCTGGGGGCATTAGCTGGGGTTCCCCATGGAGCCGCGAAAGTTGAGAGAGGTGTGCCGAAATGGCGCGGTGGTGCCATGCGAATTTTCACACTGGGGCCTTCGGTGGAGCTCCCTATGGGGCCCCGAAACGTGTGAGGGGTGTGCCGAAATTTGTGGCGATGCTAATGACGATGACGGCGATGATGATGACGATAACGATGGTGATGGCGATGACGACGATGATGATGATGCTTCTGATGATGATGGGAGGAGGGAGGAGGAATGATGAGGAGGAGACCTGGGGCGCCGTGTCTTCAAAACGAGGACCCAACACCACAGGATGGCTGGGAAAAAACACCTATTGTATTTGGTTCGGCCCTTCGCCAGGACAAGTGCAAAAGCTTCTGTGGCACAGCCAGGCAGTAGTATTAAATTCCATCCCTGCCACCGCATCACGAAGATGTACTTGTTGTGCGTGGTGAAGGTGGGCACGACGTTGACGTGAACAGGGGCCGCGTGCACCTTGCCCGGCCCGCGGTCCAACGAGAAACTGATGACGTCGCGGGGTTCGACCTGCTTCGCCAGGAGAAGGGCCCGGGCGCGGCCCTCGTAGTGCGACAAATTCTTCCGCAGAGCATGCGTGAGCGAGTCCAGCGGGGTGGGCGGGAAGTCGCCCAAGAACTCCTCGAGGCGCGCGGCGGGGAAGTGCGGCGGCGGTGGGGGCACGGAATAATTGGCGGCCCCCGTCGGCGCGCGGGAACCGACCAGGAAACATCTCTTGCGGAGAGTCGGGAGTCCATAGTCCTGGGACTCGAGCACGCGGAAACTCCAAGAGAACCCCGGTGCTTCCTGCCCCAACACCAGCAGCACCTTTTCACCGAAAGACTCGGACTCCCCAGCGATTTTGCGCAGGATGCCGACCACGTTCTCGAGCACGGTGAACTGCAAGGATGCCTCCTTGATGAATTTGATCACGAGCTCTAGGACGCGTAAGAACACGTCCGCACGGGGGTCGGCGGCGCCCCCCCTCGACCCCTGCGCCGACCATGGCGGGCAGGGCGGGCCCGAGACCAGGCCGTCGCATGGTCCTTTGAAGGGCGCCAGGCTCGGGCGAAGGACGTCGCCTTTCTCCTTTCCCACGCGCGAGCCGCCGACAACGAACTCGCCCAAGTGGTGCTGCAAAAGATCTGCGTACCCTTGTTCGAGGTCGAAGACGTGAGCGGCCGAGTGCGGCACCTCCATGTCTTTCAAGGCGAAGCCGCAGCCGTCAATGCCGCAGCAAGGGACGGCCACGACGAGCGGGCGGCCCAACGGAGGGGCCACTCCTGGCCGCGCGTTGCGGTACCCCGACAGCGGCGCGGGCGTGCTGGCCACGAGCTGGGGCACCTTCGCGCCCCACGCAGCTTTGGACGCAACCCCCGGCATCGCGGGCAGGTGTCGCTGGCAAGCGTCGCGGGCAATCGCGGCCTGAGGTGTTTGCAAGCACGAAAATGTCTTGAGCCAGACGGGCTGCAATGGGCGGGCTTTGCAAATGGGGAGAAGCTCGGGCGCCCCGCGAAATCAAATATCCAAGCGAGAAAGGCGAGGAACACCTTCTCCTCCTCCTCCTCCTCTTCCATTTCCTCCTCATCCTCCTCCGCCATTGGAAACGCGAAACGTGTGACAGGCGTGCCGGAAATAACGTGGCTGTCGAAAGCGGGCGGTGGTAGTGGGAGCTTCGGTGGGGCTCCCCATGGGGCTACACATGCTGGCGTCCGGCGGGGTTCGGCGTTAAAACAGTTAAACGCTATCGGGGGCCATCCCCAGGGCTCAACGGTGTGCCGAAATGGGGAGGGGCCGCCATGCGGTCGCTGCCACTGAGGCCTGACTTCCAGCCCCCTTTACTGGGCCACAAAACGTTTGAGGCGTGCGCCGAAATGAGGCGGGGCCGCCATGCGGGCGCAATCACTGAGGCCTTCGGTGCAACCGATACATGGGTCCGCGAAACGTGCGAGGGGATAGTGGCGATGATGACGATGATCAGCCTGTGCTGTTGTGATTGCCGCCGTTGTGACAACCGCAGTGGTGAGTATTGTCTTCGGTTGAACTACCTCCCAATGGGGCCACAAAACGTAGGGGCGACACACATCCGACCGAGAATTGCGAGGCCCGAGTGACCCACCCCCGCCTCAGGGGTCCGAGTGGTGACCCTTTCTGAAACGCCGCAAGCCCAGAAACCCGAGATCGGCCTGGATGGGCGCGGATAGGCGCGGATAGGTCCCGGATAGGTCCCGGATAGGTCCCGGATAGATCGCGGATATGTCACAGGGGCCCGAACGACTCACCCCCGACCGAGAACTGAGAGGCCCGAGCGACTCAGCCCCGACCTTGAACTGCGTGGCCCGAGCGGTTTACATCCGACAGAGAACTGAGGGGTTCGAACGACTCACCTCCGACCGAAAACTGAAGGGCCCGAGCGGCTTACCCCCGACCAGGAGCTGTGTGAGGGGTGTGCCGCAATGGGAGTGTGATGGCGATGATGATGACGATGTTGGCTCAAGCCATTTTGGCTCCAGCCATTTTGGCTCAAGCCATTTGGCTCAAGTTGGCTCAAGAGCTGTACCCCCTTAAATTCCCGATCGCGCCAGTACCCCCTTAAATTCCCAAGTTGGCTCAAGAGCTGTACCCCCTTAAATTCCCGATCGCACCAGTACCCCCTTGAATTCCCAAGTTGGCTCAAGAGCTGTACCCCCTTAAATTCCCGATCGCGCCAGTACCCCCTTAAATTCCCAAGTTGGCTCAAGAGCTGTACCCCCTTAAATTCCCGATCGCACCAGTACCCCCTTAAATTCCCAAGTTGGCTCAAGAGCTGCACCCCCTTGAATTCCCGATCGCGCCAGTACCCCCTTAAATTCCCAAGTTGGCTCAAGTGCTGTACCCCTTTAAATTCCCGATCGCACCAGTACCCCCTTAAATCCCCAAGTTGGCTCAAGAGCTGTACCCCCTTAAATTCCCGATCGCGCCAGTACCCCCTTAAATTCCCAAGTTGGCTCAAGAGCTGTACCCCCTTAAATTCCCGATCGCACCAGTGCCCCCTTAAATTCCCGTACAGGAAGAGCATTGCACTCAACCATTTGAGATCTCACTCATTTGTTTGTGTGATGACTTCTTTGACGCTTGAGTCTATGAGTGCCCTGCTTGATGCCAAATTTGGGGAAGCCTCAAACCTCAACATCTCGACACTGACGCTCTGACACTGTACGAGCGGAAATAATTGCTCATTCGCGCCCGCATAAATGTGACTCATCATCTTGGGACCAAGGACACGCATAGCGTGGAACCTATTGTTTGGGAAAGTGCCTTCCAATAGGTACTCCAAAAGGTACCCTCTAGTGTGCATGGTGGCTTCAACTTGATCAATATGGGCACCCCCGTGGGGGGCTCATATGCCTCCCCCCCCCTCTGGGGGACTGACGATGGACAAATGATGCACGGAGAGCCAGGTCCCGACGAGCAAGTCCAGACAGGCACCCCACTGGGGGATTTATATTGGCACCCCACTGGGTTCCTTAGGTGGAGCTCCATATGGGGCCACGAAACATGTGAGGGGTGCGCCGACATGGGGCGGCGTTGCCATGCGAACTTTCCCACTGGGGGCATTAGCGGGGGTTCCCCCTGGAGCCGCGAAGCTTGTGAGGGGTGTGCCGACATTGGGCGGTGGTGGCAGGCGAGCTTTCCCACTGGGGCCTTCGATGGAGCTCCCTCAACAGGATCTGTTTTCTCAAGGCCGCACGTTCGTGGCGAGCTCAGTGGGCTGCAACTGTACAAACTGGAGGTCGTGCCGCAGTGGCCAAACTATACATGCCTCTGGGCACGCGCCAGGCGCTGCGCAGCTCCTGTGCGAAAGGATGGAGAAGGCATGCTACATATCCTGCCTCCCATGCCGCCCCTGATCCGCCCACGTCCTCCTCATCCTCCTCCCCGTTTGTACGAGATTCTGCGGTGCAGATTTAAGTGCTTCGTCTGGCTGCTCTGCAAGATGGAACACATAAGATTGACATGCTCCTCCTCTCCCTCCTCCTCCTCCTCCTCCTCCTCCTCCTCCTCCTCCTCCTCCTCCTCCTCCTCCTCTCCCTCCTCTTCCCCCTCCTCCTTCATGTGCTCCTCCGCCTGCCCCTCACCCTCCTGGCCCCCGGCCCCCCCCTCCTTTTCCTCCCTCTTCCGACTCCTCGTCCTCCTCATGTTCCTCCTCCCCCATCCCCCCTAATCCTCCTCCTCGTCGGAACGTCCTCGCCCTCGTCCTCATCATTTTCCCCCTCCCCCTCCTCCTTCTCCTCCTACCCTTCCTCTGCCTCCTCCTCACCCCCCTCTCCCTCCTACTCCTCCTCCTTCTCCCCCCCCATGTTACTGCCAAAAAATGACAGCGCGGGCAAACAGGGCTGCCAATGCCTAGTCCAAGGGGTCTACCGCCGTTGCCTCCACCGGCTCCCCCGCCACGGTGGTGGCCGCTGTGGAAGGCGCGGGGGCTTCGAGGAATGCCTGGGCGAACTCCGCGGAGTCGTTGACGCGCCCGACGACGTCCGTTGCCACTTGGAAAGTCTCCTTCATCTCTTTGGCGGTCTGGGTCACGAAACCTTTCACGGCCGTGCCGGCCTGCAGCGCCCCGTCGAGCTCCCGCTTCTTCACCGTCAGGGTGTCCCGCGATGTCTCCACGACTTTCAGTAGCATCGCCGGGACGGCCCCCGCCATCTCGGGCGCCCCGGCAGTGACCAACGCCCCCGCGATAGACAGCAGGGCAGCATCGGTCTTGGCCACGAGAGCTTCGAGTTTCTTCTTATCCGTCTCCGAGAGCGGCTCCTGGGCCGGGGCTTGCGGCTTTTTGCCCTTGTCTGCGGGCTCGCCTGTAGCCTCTGCCGCCGCCTTCGCCGTCACCTTGGCTTTCCCCTTCGCCTTCGCCTTCGGCCGCTGGGTGACCTCGGACTCAGTTTTCCTCTTGCGCACCTCCCTGTCGGTCTCCATGTCCTCCTGGACGCTGACGTACTCGAAGACCTGGTACAAGGTGACTTCACGAGTCTCGTGGTAGAACGTGTCCGCGTTCCTCAGGATTGCCTCCGCCTGCTGGGGGCGATTCTTGAAGGTGTCTCGGATCGTCGTCTCGTCCAACCACTGCCCCTCTCCCTTGACGCCCTGCTTGGACAACTTCTCCGACTCGATTTCGAGGCTCTCACACAGTGTCACGGCGAGCTCCTCGCCGTAGAGGGCGCCGTGCTGCTGGAAGAACTCCTGCCTCGCGGCAGGACCCTGAGCCGCCCACCTCGCGCGGAGCTTCTCGTTCTGACGGAGCACGGCCTGGCAACGCGACTGGAAGTTGTTGCACTCGGAATGCCTGTAGACAGCACCGCGCGCCTGCGTCGCCTTGTACACCTGGATGTGGCGCTCGCCCTCCTGGATGTCCCTGCCGCACTTGTCGCACTTCGAGAGGATGGCCGGCATGGCGCTCGACGCAGGCGCTGTCGTCGCATCCGCACGGCGATGACTGAAACGCTTCGGGAGACAAACGGCTGCGACCAGGCGGATGAGTGGGAGCGTTGGGACAGGCGTAGGGGACGACGAGGACGAGGTGACCTTGCGGCCGCCAAGCGGCTCGAGCGGCGCCGCTCGAGCCACCCGGCGGCCGCTTGCACCTTCTAGTCGTCGTCGTCCCTCCTTGCAAGATCGAAGATGGAAGGTGACGGGCCTTCTGGCCTTCCTTGTCCTTCGGGATGTCTCCGGCGCCTCCTCCCTCCGCCCTCCTCCTCCTCCTCCTCCTCCTCCTCATCCTCCTCATCCTCCTCCGTCCTCCTCCTCCTCCTCCTCCTCCTCCTCCTCCTCCTCCTCCGCCTCCTCCCGTTCCTCCTCCTCCTCCTCCTCCTCCTCCGCCTCCTCCTCCTCCGCTCCCTCCTCCTCCTCCTCCTCCTCCTCCTCCTCCGCCTCCTCCACCTCCGCATCCTCCTCCTCCTCCTCCTCCTCCGTCCTTTTTCCGTCCTCATCCTCCTCCTCCTCCTCCTCTCTTTCTCCTCCCCTTTCCTCTCCTCTCCTCCGCCTCCCTCCTCCTCCTCCTCCTCCTCCTGGAAACCTCCAACCTCCTGCCCCCCTCCTCCTCCTCCTCCTCCTCATCCTCCTCTCCTCCTCCGCCTCCTCCTCCGTCCTGAGGGGTAGGGCGGAGGAAGGAGGAAGAAGGCGGAGGAGGAGGAGGAAGGAAGAAGGCGGAGGAGGAGGAGGAGGAGGAAGAGGAAAGAGGAGGAGGAGAGAGGAGGAAGAAGGAGGAGGAGGAGGAGAAAGATGAGAAAGATGATGATGATGCTGATGCTGATGATGATGAATGATGATGATGAGATGAGATGAAATGAGGATGGGGGATGAGAATGATGATGATGATGTAGGAGGAGGAAGGAGAGGAGGAGAGGAGGAGACGGAGTCCGTCATCCGTCCTCCTCCTCCTCCTCCTCCGCCTCCCTCTTCGTCCTCCCTTCCCTCCTCCACCTCCTCCTCCCCCTCCTCCATCCATCCATGCCATACCATACCATACCATTCATCCACCATCATCCTCCATACCAATCCATCCATCCATCCATCCATCCATCCATCCATCCATCCATCCATCCCCCTCCTCCACCTCCTCCTCTTCCTCCACCTCCTCCTCCTCCTCCTCTCCCTCCTTCCAGCTCCGCCTCCCCCTTCCTCCTCCTCCTCCTCCTCCTCCCTCCTCCGCCGCCTGCCGCCTCCTGCCTTCTGCCACCTGCTCCTCCTCCTCCTCCTCCTCCTCCTCCTCCTCCTCCTCCTCTATCCTCCTCCTCCTCCCTCCTCCTCCTCCTCCCCTCCTCCTCCTCCCTCCTCACTCCCCTCCTCCTCCGCCCTCCGCCTCCGCCTCACGCCTTCCGCTCCTCCTCCTCCTCCTCCTCCCCCTCCTCCTCCTCCTCCTGGCGGCTCGAGCGGCGCCGCTCAAGCCGCCCGGCGGCCGCGTGCACCGGCTTGTCGTCGTCGCTTCCCCCTGCAGGATCGGAAGTCGAGGGGTGCAGGGATTTCTGACTTTCTCTTACCGCGGAATGTCTCTGGGGCGACCCAGGGCGCGCAGGGGCCCCCGAGGGTGCGGGGGGGAGGAAGAGGAGGGGGATTTTTTGTTCAAGGAACCTCTGGGGGCTTTCACGAAGCCCTCTGCGACGAGGTGTCCCTGGAATCTCTGGTGGCTTTCCTGAAGCCCTCTTACAGCCCATGGCTCTATGAAGCCTCCAGGGGGCTTCGATTGTCCTGAGGCTCCAGAGTAAAGCCCCATCTATGGCCTGACGCTTCGATGCGTTCGTCGCCGTGGTCGTCACTCTCTGCGTCGTCGTCGCCGCTAGAGCCGCAAGAGAGTTCCAAGATGGACCCAATGAGATTCCAGACTTAGCGTCCCAAGCAGAGCCCAAGCGAGTATTTTTTCATTACCGTTCGCACCACAGCACTGTACACGCCGGCGCCGCAGAGCGGCGACGCTCGCGCCGAGGGGCGCAACAGGGGCGACAAAGAGGGCGGCAGCCTCCGCGCCATGGCACTGTACACGCCAGCGCTGGAGCGCGTCGCGCGCGAGGCTACTGCGCCCAAGGCGGCAGGGCCAGGACCCTCGTGCCATCGCCCAAAGCCGCCCATGCGACCGCCCCGCGACATGAGGCCGCATCCAACGTCACTGGAAATCCGCCATCGGCCTTATAGCGCTGAGCGGCCACAGGCGCAACTGGCAACCACGGCCGCACGGACGCCGAAGGACGACCGCGAGAGACCATGAAGCCCACGCACTCCCCCACCACGATCCCATCGGGGACCTCGAACCACAAAACGTCGCCCATCGTGAAGAGCCCGTACGCCGTGCGCATCGAACGGCCACACTCTGCGTCGCACGACGCAGTTGCGGCACGATGCCTCGGATGGCAGGAGGGGGGCGGCGGCGGGGGAATAGGAAACGGAATCCCCCCTCTCATCCCTCCACAATCCTCCCGCTACATCCCCGTACCCCGCCCCCCCTCGCTCATCCGTTTCCCCTCGTCGCAGTTTTCGTTTTCAAATCCTCTTCCCTCCTGCCCTCCCGCCCTCCCTGCCGCGTACCCCCGCCCTCCCGGCCCCCCCCCTCTCCCCTCCGTTGCCCCCTCGGGCGGCCTCGATGGTTTCCTAGGTTTTCCTTTGGGGCCCTCTAGACCTCGAGCGAGTTCCTCCTCCTCCTCCTCCGCCTCCTCCTCCACCCGAACGACGACGTGGCCAATTAAGGCGCCCTCTCTGGGTCCATCGCCATGCCGCCCTGAATCGCGTGAAGTGCGAACTGCGCATCTGGAAGGTTCTCCAAATAATGCGCCGTCAGCCTCTGGATCACAAAGCGGCCGAGGTACCGAGACTGGAACGCCAGCACTGCTGCGGATTTGGCGAAGCGGTGGCGCCTCTCGGGCGCGAAGCAAGTGAGCAAGCACCCGTGGCGTCGGATCATGTCTGGGATGTGTAGCAGAGCCGCAGCCCCAACCCCCCGAAAAGGGGAGGGGCAACCCGGGGCTATCTATTAAAAGTAACGCAAGACGGGCCGCCCGCTTCCAAAGGCCTTCGGATGCGATGGCAGTGATGGGGCTCCGGCGGGGCTCTCTGCGGGCCACGAAACGCGTGAGGGTGCCACGTAACGTGTGCGTTCGTGGTGCCAGCTAGGACAGATGAGTGTAATGTCCGCTCGTCGAATACAGCTCATGCCTCTTCTCACGCGCACCCGCTCTCGCTCTCTTGTCTGTATGTTTTGTTTGGTTGTTGTTGTTGCTGTTGCTCTTTTGTTTCATAGGCGTCCCAGTGGACGAAAGCGGAGGAGGAGGAGGAAGGATATAGCGAAGAAGAGGGGGGCGAGGAGAGGGAGGGGGGGAAGAGGATGATGGGGGGAGGAGGAGGAGGAGGAGGAGGAGGAGGAGGAGGCAAATGAGAGGGAACATGGGGCGAGCCCTACGAGCCCTATGAGCCCTATGAGCCCTATCAGCCTTCTGGGCCCTATGAGCCTTATGAGCCCTATGAGCCCTATGAGCCTTATGAGCCCTATGAGCCCTATGAGCCCTATGAGCCCTATGGTTTTTGTCTCTCGCGGCAGGGGCGCGCGGACCCGCGACAGCGCGATGTCTAGTGGAGCTTGGGTTTGGCGGTCGCGGGGTACAACCCAGGCGCCGGCTGCCTGTATTCCTCCAGAACTTGCTCTACGCGGTGGACCCGTGAGACCAGCTCGGCGTCGGTCAGCATGGTGCAATGGCATACGATCTCGAACAGCAGGGCCAGGCAGTGAACCTCTCGGCGGAGCGAATCGCTGCACTGGAGCTGTTTGACCAGGACGAGGAGCCACAACACGGAAATAGCGTCGATCGCCTCGCTGGCGAAGCACTTGAGGTACCCCGCGCCCGCCCTATCCTGGAAGAAGGTTCTGCCCATGCGTTTGCGCCCCCCGCCCGAAGGCAATCGGACGGTGGAAGCAAAATCGTCGAGGTCTTTTAAGGTGATGGGCGCTTCCGTCGAGGCCAATGACCCAACGAAGCATCCGAGTTGGATGGGCCCGACGCCCCCTGAACCAACGCAGGAGTGCATGAAATCCCAAAACGTGTGTTTGGCAACGTCTACAAATCCCACCAGCCCTTGCGAGGGCGCGGGTGGTCTCAGGAGCTCCCTATTCCAAACCCTTTCTTTCCCGTCGGAAATGATATTGCCCGCGTCCCCCCCCGACCCCCATCCCCTGGACCTGGGCGGGGTTGGGCCACGAGGGCGGGAGCGTCCAAGATGGCCCGGGACGGTTCCAAAGGGGCCTCTGAGAAGCCAACATCGCCTCAAAGATCTCTCGAGATTACCCAACGCGGTCAAGATAGCTTCCAGCATGCCTCCAAGGACCCTGAAGACCGCCCCAGGACGGCTCGAAGTGCGTTCCGATCCGCCCAGGGGGGTTCCAAATATTTGTTTGGCGACTGCAAGTCACCGAAAGCGAAATCGCGCAATGGCCCCGGGCTCGGGGGAGGAACAGACGACCCGGCAAGTATACGGCTACGTGTCGGAAAACAAATCTCACGGATTCGGTGCGCGGGTGATTTTCCGCCACTGGTTAGGAGAACGTTCTCCTAACAAAACGTGGGAGGCCCCAAAATTGCCCCACTTGGTTCAAAACCGTTTTTTTTTTCCATTATTATTTTCTGTGTTTTTGTTGATGGCATTCTCGCCTTGTCGCCGCTGATCAACGCAACTCGCCTGGTGACTGCGTTTGGATATGCTGGTGGGGATGCGCGAAGCGTGAAGAATTGGAGAACGTATGGGTCGTCCAAGATTCCGTGCTCGTCGTATTTCCACCCATGGATCTTGTGGGCCTCCTCCACGCGACTTCTCCCTGGCGGGCGCGGTCCGATAGAAATCGACGCCACCTGGTCAATGCAGTCCTGAATGGACTCGGCGGTGTGCAAGTCGAAATCAGCCGCGGCAGCAGTGGACGGAGTTCGGAAGTAGTCGTCGCCAGACACGTCCGCCCCCTCCATCAAGATGTTCCGGCACAGGCAGCATGGCCGGAGGCCGCTGGCGCCGATGCACAACCACATCTGTTTGTACGCTTTTTCGTCCTGCACGAACGTGGCGACGTCAAAGTGGACGAGCTCGGGTCCGCCGCGCGCGGGCACTTGAATGCCAGTCGTGCTGAAATCCGCGATGCCGAGCGGCCCCTCGACGTAAGTAGGGAGCCCACCAAGGACGTACGCGCCCAGCTATGTACATGAACACGGCCCCTCGATCCGCGAGACCGGCCGCGTTATACGGACATTTGCGCAATGCGTTCTCTCGAAACCAGCGTGGATTCATGTACATGTACGTCCTTCTTTCGCCCCTGAGTAAGCATGTCTGCTGGAGTAGCGGCGGCACCATGCAGGGGCATCGGCGGGGAAACGCGCATAGCGCTGGGATTGTGGCCGTTGGGCGCAAAGAAAATCCGCACCATCGCCCGCACAATTGCCGAGAGACCGCCGGCCACCCTGTCGAGATCCACCTCTGGAATCGAGACGAAACTGAGCCACGCGTGGCTCTGGCCGCGGAACCAGTTCGGAAATTGCTTGACCGTGTAGTATATGTTCATGATCTTCCTGCCTTTGTCGGGGCGGAGGGGATTGCCTGGCGTCGTCTCGTCGCAGAAGAAAACGAAACCGCCGCGGCCGTCGCCCCCGAGACAAAGGCGCAAGAACGTGCCGAAGTCAACGGCGCAGCTGCAGGCCAGAAACAAGAGAGCAAATGGGTTTGCATACTCCGCCAGGCCGTTGGGCCTCGTTATCCTTCCCATGCCCTCCCCCTCCCTCCCCTTCTTCCAGGACAAGCTAGGTGCGCTCGCGTCATATCTGACGTCCTACCCCTCCCTCCCATCCCTTACCATGGCGCTGATTTTCTCTATCCGCGGACGCGTGTCGTAGCGGACCTGTGGCTCCCCCTCCCTCCCCTTCTTCCAGTCCCAATGACATGAGCAATTCAACTTTCCCCCCCTGGATGGCTGGCGTTGCGCACGAGAGTGTTTCGGATGGATCTTGACTGGGTCGCCGCCGTCCTCCGCCGGGAACTCCGCGTCCACGAACAACTTCCCATACGGGGTGTCGCGCTGACCGTAATCCTTCT